CCTCCCCCACCCCGTTGCCCTGTCTGTGGCTGTTTTCTTACAACCCTCGTCGCTGCTCACGTATGTACACAGCTGTCCCAGAAGTGGGAAGATGTCACTGCTCTGGGGACAATAGGCATGTGACGCGTGACTCCATCTCTTGCTGCCAAGAAGCCATCCAGAAGGATGATCCCACCCTCGTACATAGGGAATTAGTCTGAATTCATACCAGCTGCCCTCCACCCGCTCATATTCCCAATAAGCTTTCTTTTCATTTTCTTACAGCTTACTGTTTCACAAACAACAGACCACGTGCTCACATTGTCCCTAGCCTGCAATATTTCAGTCTGTTTGGAGAGAAAACATGTTTTGGATGTTTTCGCCCTAAACAGCTTGGGCCCTAAATGACTCGTCTCGAAGCCATCTCAAAGACTTTATGAGCCTGCCCTGGCATTACAGTGGTGCCCTACTATACGCTTACCCTGCATGACGTTGAAACCGCGTCAAAATTGTGATCGCAAAATGATGGTTCTAATGGCGTTTTTTCACTTCACGTTGATCAGGAGCCTGCTTCGCGAACCATTTGTTCGCTTAACGACGATTTTTCCTGCTCCGCAAAATGGCTTCCCTCCGCAAAATGGCTTCCCTCCCTTCTCAAAATGGCTGCTTTCTGGAGGGAAGCTTTGCATTACAGCGATTCTGAACAGCTGATTAGCGGTTCTCTATGGGCAATCTTCGCTGGACGATGAGGTATTTCCGTGTTGGAATACACTGACCGGTTTTCAATAGTTTTTTTTCCCCGCTTGACGACGACGTTCAATGCATTCCAATAGGTTTTTTTTTTTTCGCTTGACGATGACGAACAGCGATTTTCCTGGAATGGATCATCGTCATCAAGCGGGGCACTACTGTAAGATCATCGGGAGAGACCTTTCTCTTGGTCCTGCCACCTTCACAGGCATGCTCGGCTTGTCTTTTTAATGATGCAGGCCGCCGTCGGCCCCTTAATGAGAGAGGCAGGGATAAAACATTTTAAAATAAATAATAAAAGAATCAATAGATATTTTGGATGGACAAGAGGATGGCAAAGGTTGGAAAACGCTGCTCAAAATGGCTCAAAAGTAAAGTGCCTAGAAAATATTACACTAGAGCACCCCACAGCCACAGGATCAGTATCCACTGATTCACTTATCCACTGCCTGAAAACACTAAATAAAACAACCCAGAAATACATATTCCTATATATTTCCAGGGTGTATTTATCAGAACTGGTCACTTGAGGGAGCCAGAGACCATGTATTGCACAGTGTTCGATACTTCTACATTTTCTGGCACAGGTGTACGGAAACCGATCCCCCGTGGACACCAAGGTCCTACACTACTCATTACAGTCCCTTGAAACAAAGCCTCCACCGCTCCTTATATTACCTCTGAACCGTTTTTTGTACAGCTAAAGTAGAGAGCAGAGGAAACCTGCGCGGTGCCCTCAGATCTCTGCTCGAAAAATGGGCTATCAATGTAACCAGTTAATTATAAAGAAATTCATTAAGCCTACAATTGCCGAGCTCTTTCATGAATAAGACCTTTGGGAATGGTTAAGGCTTCCAGGATGTATTAAGCTTGCAGAAATGATTGTAGAGCGTAATGATAGGAATCTTCAAATATCTGAAAGATGTATAGTTGTCAGGGTTTAGTGAGGATTAGGGCACCCCTCGCTGGAACAGTCTCAGCCCATGAGACCAGAGGGGAGTTATTCCTCATGTGATAGATTTGTTGTTTAGTCATTAAGTTGTGTCCGACTCTTTGTGATCCCCTGGACCAGAGCACGCCAGGCCCTCCTGTCTTCCACTGCTTCCTAGACTTTGGTCAAATCCACGTTGGTTGCTTCGATGACCCTGTCCATCCATCTCATCCTCTGTCGTCCCCTTCTCCTCCTGCCTTCACACTTTCCCAGCATCAGGGTCTTTTCCAGGGAGTCTTCTCTTCTTGTGAGATGGCCAAAGTATTGGAGCCTCAGCTTCAGGATCTGTCCTTCCAGTCAGCAATCAGAACGGATAGGTTTGTTCTCCTTGCAGTCCAGGGGACTCTCAGGAGTCTCCTCCAGCACCACAATTCAAAAACATCAATTCTTTGGCGGTCAGCCTTCTTTATGGTCCAGCATGTGATAAATAAACTCTTACACAATTATTATCTCAGGAACTCAAGAAATTTAGCAGGACATACCTGATTCGTCATCCCCGAAGCCTTCTCAGATTCATTCAGCCTAAAAAAGGAGGAAGAACCTCAAGTCATAAGAGAGTAAAATCAAATCGAGCAACGCATCGTCTTTAAAGAATAGATATCTATGTATTCTGGGACTTTCTGCTTACTGGTCTACACCAAGACTTCTTGGCTGTACAACGTGGAATGTGACATAGGAGAACTGTGTTTCCCTTCTGAAATGGGTTTCCTGAAACTCTTGATCCGAAGAAGTCAGCTGGCTGTCAGCCTTCCGCCCGCCCCCCCCCGATGTGCACAAATAGCAGAGATGCAGAGGTGAACCGCTGGCTTTCAAAGCAGCTGCATCCAGAGATAACGTGGTTGGGAAAGGAGATAACTCGGCGTGTCTTCCCAGGATACAATGGTTATTCCTGGAAAGTCTCATCTGCATTAACCCTTGGGAGACAGTCAGGGAAGACAGACCGAAGGGCACCCCCCTCCCCCGAGTATTAGCTGCCTCTTCTGGTGCTCTCATCTTTTCTAGTCTTGATAGAAAACATCTCCCCTCTCCAGTCTTGAGGGGGAAATGTTTAGTTTTCAAGTGCTCCCACTATTTCTGGGATTCTGGGGGCTGTCGTCCACCCCACCAAAGTTCTCCCATCTCTTGTCCACTTGAAATGTTTCTTTACCAAAGTAAACCAATTGACAATTGTGACTTATTGCATTTCTCAAGAGGAAACATTTCCCCTAGGTTTTGGAAGTCTCTCCTTCCATTGTTAGCTGACAAGTGAGTGTTGATTTTTTACCCACAATAAGGAGGCATACTTTTCCGGAGCGCCTAGGTTTGGCATCCTACTAACAAAGCAAAGGGATTCCCTGTAGATCCAGATGACGAAGGTGAGAAGGTACCTTTGCTTAAAAGCTTTTTTGTTGGCTGGGGGCTTAGATTCTCTACTGTGGCACCTTCTTATGTGTTTCCTACAATCTCGCTTCAACTCCTGGCAATAAGCTGCTCATTTAATGCAGGGGGTGGTGGCCAGAAGACCTCAAAGACGAGACATACTATGTCTAGTTCTTTCATGGCCCCCTCTTTTTCCTTAGCTGAGGAGGTCTCCAGCAACATTGCGTCTACCTTTCTTTGTTAAAAAAATAGGTCACCCTCGCATTGCATCGGCAAGCACTTAAACCACTCATTTTTTAAAGTGGGAAGTAGATTTCTAGCCCGTCGTGGTTTTATGCTTCATATTTTGGTGTGGTCACAATTCATGCGATCAGCTTCAAGGACAGGTAGCAACAATCGCAATGTTTGTTAGAAGGGTGGGCAGGCGTAAGCCACCACACCTGCCGGCCAACAGAGGAGGGGTGCAGGCGGCTCTCGCTGTGGTGCTATCTCACATCACCTGCCTGCTGTTACCCAGATCGAAAGAGTCGTTCCGACTTACCTTACTGATGTAGGGTCTTTACCTGCATAAGAAAAAAAAGGATGTCACACCATGAGGTGTATTACAGTTTGTCCCCTGCCCGAGCTTCCAGCATTCGCCTCTCCATTCAGTCTTTAGAGACGGTGTTGGGAGGGTTTGAAAGAACAGCCTTCGGGTCTATCTATGGGAAGGTCCTTCAAAGGAGACAGCTCCCCCCAAATAAAAGCTCCCTGTATGGCTACAACTGGCCTCCTCCAAGGCTAACGGGATGATAGAGAAAGGGCCTTGGACCACTAGGGGCTTACAGTGCCTGGTACCATCGAATGCTAAGAAAAGTGGCTTTTTTTGGGCTACAGCACCTAGTATCCCCCAGCCAACATGGCTAGTGATGCAGCTTCATGAGGGATGCTGGGAGCTGTTGTTAAACACACACACAAACACACACACAATACTTCAGGTGCAATCAGATGGAGATAGCTCAGGGTTTAGACCACATGGGGCACAGTCTGGTGCAAGCTATTTCCCAACGATCAGGTGATGTACAGGAGATGGTATACCACAGGTGCAATCAGATGGAGATAGCTCAGGGGCACAGTCTGGTGCAAGCTACAGTATTTCCCAATGATCAGGTGATGTACACGAGATGGTATACCGGTCTGATCACGCTCCGTGCTCCAAAGCCAGACCTTTTCTGATCCTGAAGCAGCGCTACTCTTATTTGGAACTGGGATGGAGCGACTCCTGTAGGGACGGAAGGCTCTCTTTTAAGGGAGATCTCTCCCAGGGAACGCGACCCTTTCAGGTACAATCGGATGTGATCTTGTATCAACCTCTGATAGACAATAATGCCACATGAGGAGAACGGTGCATGGCTTGGGTAATTAGACCCAAGGTAATTAAGTCAGCCCGAGGATGGAGAAAGTATATACTGTATCTGGATACTAATTCAAAGGGGCGAAAGCAAAGGGACAGACCTCATGCCCTGTCTGTGGCTCCCTCGGGGACCTCGGGTTGGCAAATGGGTAAGGAAATGGATAGTGATCAGGTCCTGTTGGCCATGCCAGCTAGGGAATGCTGAGAGCTGTTGTTCCAAAATGTAACTTAGAATCCTAGACTCATGGAGTTGGAAGGGGCCTCTTAAGGCCATCGAGTCCAACCCATCTCAAGGCAGGAATCCAAATCAAAGCAGGTCTGGCAAAGGATGGTCTAAATTTCTCTTGAATGCCTCCACTCACCGCCTCTCGAATCATTGGTTCCAACTTCTCCAAGTTGTGCAGGAGACCTTGCAACAGGACCCTGTTGGCTTTCCACCAGCGCATCGAGCCTCACGGCGGTTCCCAACCTTTGGGTCCCCCGATGTTCTTGAACTAGAACTCCCAGAAGCCTCCACCTCTAGCTGTGCTGGCCAGGATTTCTGGGAGTTGTACTCCAAGAACATCTGGGGGACCTAAGGTTGGGAACCAGTGCTCTAGTACCATCTCTTCCAGTAAGAGTCCCAAAAAGAGTATGGTCTATAACTGCAAAATCTCAGTGTTTCCAATACATATGACAACAGTTGCCAGCATATTTAAAGAAAACGAAGGACTGATGAAAGAGGGATGTGATGTGGTCCAGGAAGAAGGACCTTGCATGGAGGCAGGTCCTTGCCCCAGTTTAGTTCTAGTTGGAGGTGTCAAGTACAGTAGGAGCCTCTTATCCACAGGATCCGTATCCACAGATTCACTTATCCAGTCTGAAAATATTAAAAATCCTAGAAATCTGTATTTCTAAAGATGAAGTTACCAGAGCTGGCCACTAGCCAGAGACCAGGCTATGTTTAGCATTGATTATTAAATACATGTTTGCTCTAATCTGTGTTTTTCAGCATCTGTGGAAGGGGGGAATTGGAGCCGATCCCCATGGATATGGGGATCCTTCTGTATTCATTGGTAAATCAGATGAGAGTGGATCTGTTCTTCAGGGCTGTATGGTGGTAGTAAAGTACAGGGCCGAGCAGTCAAATTAAGATCAACTCAGAGGCCCAGTTTAAGACCTTGGAACATACATGGTTTGACTACCTAAGGGAGCACAGCCTCTGGCTTGCCTCTTGTTTTGGACTTCAGTTCCCAGAAGCCCCAGCCAAAGTGGCCAAGGATATGGAATGATGGGAGCTGTAGTTGAAAATGTACGGAGTACCCTCTACTGTTGGTTCAAATTACACGAGTTTGCAAGGTGCCCAATTTTGGCATGCCTTCCTAAAGGAGATACACCGGATCCAGTACCTTTGTTGTGTTTTGGTGCCAAATGAAAATATTCCTTTTTTTTTTTTTTTGGATGGGCCTTTTGCTTTCCAGCTTGGAGAGTTTTAATCGTTTCTTCTAATTTAAGCGATTGTTGTGTTTGTGCACGGAAAGTGCTGATTTGATGGTTGCAGAAGATGTTCTTTTGGCTCCCTATTTTTGTCAATGGGGGTGGTGGCCAGAATTCTATATATACGAGAATTCTATATATACTAGAATTGTTCTTTTCAAACCGTCACGTATGCTACGGTGCCCTTGCCGACAAAGGACAGACTATAAACAATTTTTTTAACTCCATTGGGCTTCTATGCTCTTCCAATTCAATGTGTAGGCTTGGATCAAGTCCTTTTAGAAGAGAGTAGGCTGACTCTGACTCCCAAGACTGTTTCTGAGTCCTCTTCCCACCATACCCACTGAACTTCCATGGCCCACTCAGCCACACTTAAAATAAAAAATAAAAAATATAAAAAAAAGTGAGGGGGAAAGCAAATAAGTGTTGTTGTCTTTCCATTCCTGGAATCTTGCAGGAGCAGTGATACATTTTTTTTTGCAGTGGGTGGGAGCTGAAGGCGCAAGCCTACAGAAGTGGAAGTTTGATCCCTTCCTGCCTTACTTATTTGGCTGATTTTGGCCCCTTCTGGGCCTGCTGCAGCCTAGGGAGAGGGCTAGGCTCTGAACATTTGATTCTCAGCCCCCCAATAGTTGCCCACTTCCATTTCAGAACCCCCCCTGTGACTGTGGAAATCCTGTCAGCTGGTGGAGAACCTCTCACTGCCTACACGCCCCTGAGGATGAGGATGTAGGATGACTGAACCCACAGGGAGAGGACTGTATCTGGACCACTTGTAGAACCCTTAGGTGCAACCTCTTTTCCGGGGACTGCCTGCACCTTTCCTGCCTTCTGATTGCATCCTCTAGGATTTCTCAAAGGGGCCCGAAAGGACGCACAGAGAGAGAGAGAGAGAGAGAGAGAGAGAGAGAAATAATAATCCTTTTTTACCCTTGTTATGCCTTGCTTGGACAAGGTAGATGATCGCCACCACCAGCACAACCAGAAGGGCGCACACCACCGCAACGATGATAAAGACACTTTTTTCACCTGCAAAGAGATGTCACCCGTTAACGTCCGAGCTGGCCTCCTGCCTTTTTTCTTCATCTCGACACCAAACCAAAAGCAGTAGGATCCTGATTTTAAAAATGCATGCCCGCCGAAGCGACACAACAAGGAGCGAACGAGAATTACAGTATAACGCTCCAAATGATACCAAGGCGGTCTATCTGACAGGATCAAGACCTTCAGCAACAAACCAACCACTTCTAAAGGGAATGGAATATAAATGGAGAAGAGATACGCTGCCCATCTTGGGGGCTGCAGCCAAGAAGGCCCTGTCCCTTGTTCCCACCAGTTGTATTTCTGACAGCGGTGGAACACACAGAAGGACCAGTTCTGACCAGTAGGGGTCAGTGGGTTCTCACTGGGAGATGGGAAGGGAAGGAAGTGAATAAAGGAATATGTGACATTGCAAGATGTCAAGTCAGATCACAGGTCTGCTGAGGTCAATTGGTGTTCCTCTAGCAACCTTCTGCACGCCTTCACCCTCCAGAAGTCGACATAACCCTCAGCTACCAACTAGAGATGGGCACGAACATCAGTTCGGAGGTTCGTGCCTGGCCCGTGACCTGCTCACCAGCCCGTGTGCATGCCTCTCCGCCTCCTCTTCTGCTGTTCAGCCAGTCCCGACAGGAGCATAGTCTTGCTTGTCCCACCTCTTTGTCTGAGTGGGCAGTCGGGTGAGGAGGTGGAGAAGGGAAGCCCCTGCTTCTGCCAGGGATTAGCTGAACAGCACAAAGAGGAGGAGGAGGAGGAGGAGAGGAGCGCATGCCAGCTCGTGAGTAAGCGAATCCAGCAGGGGAGGTGGGGGAAGGAAACCCACGGTATCTGTAGCACTGTGCTTACGAACTGGCACAAACCAACGAACCAAGATTCGTGCCCATCTCTACCACCAACATACTTGGGTCTTCCCTTAACATGTAACAACTCTTCCTGGGTTACAGATTAGAATCCTTCCCAGCCATTTCTGGCATTATTTCGGACAGAAGGCGAGACTCTTTCCGTGAAGACCATGTCTCCCCCACCCCACCCCCTGTCAGAGCCTCTGCGGTCAAGAGGGAGGAAGGCAAAGGTTGCCTGCGATCCGTAGACTCCCTTAGGATCTGCTCCCAAGAACAACCTCACCTGCGCATCTCCAGTGCCGAAAAAGAAACCAGGCAACCTTCATTGAGGGCAGAGTGGGGACCTGCCGCCACCCCCCCCCCGAATAATGGTGGTGGGACTCCACATTCACCTGTTTCAGACTCAGGAGCACTCTCATTACCTTCAGCCTGCGGCTGGATTATCAGGGTCACGGTTTCGTTGACGGGCGGCTGAGAATTATGGGCAACCAGGCAGGTAAACACCGACAGGTTCCTCTCCTCGGTCGCTTTCACCTCCAAGGTGCTCCTGAGGGAGGACGTCCCGTCCCAGTTCTGGGTCACGGCCTCCACCGTCGCCGTCTCGCTCTTGGTGTTGTTCTCCAGCCAGATCAAGGTGGCGTCACTTGGATAGAAACTTTCCACGCTGCAGGTGAAAGACACGGTGCCGTTGAGCGGCACGGGAGAAGAGGGACTGGTCTCCACTCGGACGCTGGGGGGAACTGTACAAAGCAAACACAAGAAACCGGCGTCTATCAGACATTAATATTTGGTTAAGGGAAATCTCTCTTGCGTTCTCAGAGGGCCAGAACTGAATTCCACTGCCTCGGTTTTAGTTTGTGGCATAAGTGAAATGGCCAAGTTTTGATCAAAGCCAAATGCTTATCAACTCAAATATGGTGGCTACGAGCCATTTCCTGAACCTCCTTTGTTGCCTGAACTTATTTATTGCATACTATATAATGGGCCTTTTCCCCCGCCCCCCAGAAAGGAAACCCAAAGCCAGGTTATTGAGTTCCATCAGGACTGGACTGTTTTCTAGCTTTTTTTTTTTTAAAAAAAAAAGCCAGTGTGGTGTAGCGGTTGAGAGGGTTGGACCACATCACCTCCTCTTTTCCTTCCCCTCCTTCTCCATGCTTCATCCAGAACATTTCCCAGCCCGCAACACACATGGCATGCCTTGTACCTCTTAGGACCTCGCCAAGGCTAAAACTCTGCTCCAAGGGGCTCGGTAAGGTGTTGTGTGTGATCCGGCAGACGAGCTGCGACTTCACATTGTCTTTGGTGAGCCAAACGTCCACGGTGCTCCAGACCTGGTAGGAGATACTCTCTCCTTCTGGCAGGACCTTGGTCTGCAAGGGTTGGATTGTCCTTCCGTCCTTTGTCCAGGTGAGTGTGATGTCTCGGGGGGAGAATCCGTCCGAGGGGCAGTTGAAGGTCACCACGGCCCCTGACTCCACTCTGCCTGTGGGGCCGCTGATGGAAGGCGAGGATGGTGTGGCTGCAGGAGAAAAGGAGTCACAGGTAAGCCAAGATTCTTTTCTGGAGAGTCGAGGACACACAGGTTAGTTTCAAATACAATTCCTGGCATCCCCAACTAATTTTTTAAAAGTAAATTTCCAAGCTCTGCAAGGAACATGTGGTCTTCCAAAGTAGCTGGTTGCAACACCTGTCATGCATCATCATTAGAGCTCTTCTAGCTGTGGCCGATGGGGGCTGTAATCCAACATCTGGCCAAGCCTGCGTTTTTTAGAGGCATATCAAAGGAAGTGCCTCTTTCCGCTATTTAGACCTTTAGCGCAACTCTCCCACACCCTATCATTCTAAATGAACTGGTGGGCCCAGAAGCCTATCAGATGTCACTGGAACCAACTATTCCACAAGCCCTCCTCAGTAGCTAAGTTTACAGGGGATGATGGGAGCGACAGTCCAATGCACGTGGAGGGCTGCACATGGATACCAGGAGAGCCAGATCCCCATCCCAATTTTACTTACAATGCAGAACTCTGAGAACATAATGGAGTCTTTCGGTTGGGTTCAAAATTGGAAGTTTTTGAACCCCATACTATAAGCATATAGATTGGTCTTCCTTCTCTGAGAGATGCAACTCCCATTATCCACAAGTGAATAGATCCTGAAGATGCCAGCTAGGGGATCTCTTGATCCTTTTGAGTCCACTACAATGTTTGCTTATCCTCAGGATTCAGGAAGGGGAGGGGGAATGAACATCTGAACAGTTTTATGCCTACGTTTGACATATTCCCCTTTGGTATGAAACAGATCAGAGCTCAGAAAAGTCACTCTAGTTTGAACAACTACCACAATCCACCATCTAACACAGGCACTAGCCGTGCTGGCTGTAAAATTCTGGAAAGCTGTAATTAAAAGTAAATGAGTAAATAAATCCAGAAAAAGGGTACGTGCGTGCATGTCAATCTGTAAGAAGAACATGTAATTATGCTGGCATTTCTCAGACGTACAAAGAAGCCATAGACCAAAGAGACCATAAATAGATCATGCAAAATGCCATTCTCTCTCGGATGCCCAGAATGGTGGTTTCCTTCTACGTTTGTTCAGGGCCAGTTCTGAAACCTCAGCTGGATGCAAATACCTGACCTGCTGTTTGCCAGGTGAGGAAGATGGAGTTTCTGCTCTCCTCCATCTTCTGGAGAAGGAATCCTGTCCTCTTTTCTTCTTCCGGATGAGCTTTGCAAGGGCCTTTCTAACTCTGACTCCTCAAGGCCCTCTTCTCCAACTTGGAACTGAAGTTATTTTCCATGGTATAAAACACAGAGTTGGTTGTGGGTTTTTTCTCCATGACCTCCCCACTCCACCCCAATCCCTGCACACACCATCTTTGTAGCATTTATCTCTGATAAGCTCTGGAGAGCTCAAAAGCATTTCCGTTTTGTGAATGTATCGCTGTGCCTAATAAAAATATCCCCTGCCTGTGGGTTTTGTAGCATAAAAGTAGCTTTTGCAAACTCTGGAATGGATACTGGCTTGGTGACTCTTTGAACCCACCATCCTGGTGATTGAAAAGAAGCTACAGGAGAACTCAGAAATGCAGAATTTGTTTTGAGACCCAAGGATGCAACTCTGCTGGAGGATCTGGACCATATTCTGAAGAGCCAGCAAACCTTCTCCTAAATTAGGGTGAGAAGTCTCCAGAGGTCTGATGTACATTAGACTTGCTCCCAGGAACTCCACTGCTTTCTTTCTCTTTTTTTGTACAACCCCCCCCCCCCGAAAGAGCTGGGCATGTTTAGCTTTGAGAAAAGAACACGGAAGGGAGACAGCAGAGCACTTTCCAAAGACTTGAAAGGCCGTCCTACAGAGGGAGGGGCAGGATCTGTTTTCCATCATCTCAGACTGCAGGACCCAAAACAATGGGCTCAAGGTACGGGAAGCCAGATTTCAGTTGAGTATCAGGGAAAACTTCTTAACTGTTAGAGCGGTACGACAATGGACTCATGACCTCAGGAGAAGATGGTGATCACTTCAATGCTGAAGGCATTCAAGAAGAAATTGGACAGCCACTTGTCAGATCTGCTTTGACCTGAATTCCTGTCTTGAGGAAGAGGCTGGACTTGATGGCTTTATAAGTCTGTTCTCACTCCATTATTCTATGAACATGCTTAATTAAACCTTTCCATGGGGTTGTGCTCCCCCCACAGGTTTCTGAGGTCCACCAAAAGATGGAACAATCGCCTCTTAGAAAATTGTTCAGACTTTTCCCGGGGTGTGGAGGGTTGTTGGAAGCCGCGTTTCCAGGGGATGATGGATGTTGCCGACTCCTAAATTAAATGAACGGATTTTTCGCCAGATTAATTAAGAAATCACATCAGGTTGGGGGACGTGGCAAGTCTCCTAGAAGCAGTTTCTTATAAAGGATAATTGTAAAAGGGCTTCCTGGGGAACAAATGGCACGGTCATTAAGACCTGAAACAGGGCCAAAAGAAGAGGGGGGGGAAAGAGGAGGGGAATTAAGTGTTTAAAAGCGGGGACAGAAGGAAAGCCAAAGGTACATCATGGAAAGGAAGGGAGAGAGAAGAGAAAGGGGCGTCTCTGCCTGTGTCAGGTGGTAAAAAAAGCTGGCTGGATAGCTCAATGGTTAAGTAGAGGTTGGGAGTTCGATTCCCCAATGCTGTCTCCCAGGAGAAAAGCCAGCCTGGGTGGCCTTGGGCAAGCTGCACAGTCCCAGGGCGCCCCTAGAGGAAGGGAGTGGTAATGCACCTCTGAGTATTCTCTACTTGGAAAACCCTTGCTCTAAGTCACAATTGACTTAGAGAGAAGACTCCCTGGAACAGACCCGGATGTTGGGAAGGTGTGAGGGCAAGAGGAGAAGGGAATGACAGAGGATGAGATGGATGGACAGTCACCAAAGTGAGAAACAGGAATCTGACCCAACTCCGGGAGGCAGTGGAGGACAGGAGGGCCTGGCGTGCTCTGGTCCATGGGGTCACGAAGAGTTGGACACGACTTCATGACTAAACAACAACAAAAGTCGCAATTGACTTGATGGCATAGGATGATGATTAATATGGCAAAGAGGGAATGGCTGTCACTTAATGGCTATGATGACTCTGAAATGCCATTCATTTTGCCTTTGCCATGAATACAGACCAGCTCCAAATTCAGAGGCAGGAACCAGCGTCCTCCCAGGAGCGAAGAAGTACCACATTAGGCTGGGTTAATTTCAAATCCCTCAAAGCACATCCGTGAGAATGGGAGAAGTTCTGTGCCAAAAGCTGGCATGGGAGCGAAAAGAGAAAGTGTCGGAAAAGGACTTTTCTGCATCGTCGTTAAGGGACGGCACCTGCCGAACAATCAGGAGCTACGCTGAAATGTCAAAAATGAAGTGGAGCCGTTTCAATCGTCCTCCCGCGCCTCCATCCATCAGGAGAGAATTATGGATATTTTATGCGGTCTCCTCTGGAGCGAACGTTCGCGCAGGTAATGTTTCGTGCGCTGGAGGCAGGGAATGAGCGTGGAGAAAGAATGAGACTTTTGGATTGAAGCCAGCTCCTAACT